TTTCCCATTTCTTATGCTGACATATGGTGATTTTTTAGTTTATTCTACAAAGAAAACAGGCAACAGAAAATACCGTGATTCTTTGTTGCACACTCAGATCTCTGTATTGAATCTGGCTTTACTCACTACTAGAAGTCAGCTCTGGTCTGCTCTTCAGAAAAATCATTTTTAAAAACTAACACCTATTTAGTTACAGTCACAGAGCTCACTTCTGTGCTTACTGCACCATCAGTTTCTTTCGTCAGCACAAGTTACCTCCCAATCTGCATCGTTTTTGCAAGCCTAACAGTGCTACAAGTTATCAGATTCTATTTCTTTGTGGGAATTCTGCGTAAGCTGCTCATTTGTTTTCAACCACCAGAATACACAAGTTTAGCACTAGCAATTGGAATGGACAGGTAAAACTGAGCATTTTGTACAGGTTCACAGATAAAAAACCAGATGGGTAACTGATCACCTAGTTTCATCCCTCTACTATGGATTTAGTTTCTTCTTCACGTTTGAAATGCTACTTCCTTTAGGAAAACACCCAGCATCGATCTTGAAACATGAACCTACCACAATCTTTCATTAATTGTTCTAACAGTCAAACACAGTATTAAAGATACAAACAGGAGTTTGCCCAGCTTCAGCCTGCAGCACTGGTTTGCCATTATGTACAGGCAATACACAGCTCTTCAACATACTCACTACCCCTGCAGTCCTTGCCAAGGACTTTTTATCATGCTGAGTTTCCTGAGCATGCAGCACACGCCTACAGGTCTTTCTCTACTCACTGGGAAAATAGCACCCCATGACAGATTTTCACCCACTAAACCAGTTCATCTCAACTGAAGCCTACTCTGTCTGTTCCCTAGCTGTTCCAAGGAAAGAAAATAGCTAGGGGACAGCAGTATAAACCATTCTAATAGTGATAGTGCATTCCCACAGCCATATTTTCAATCCAGGAAGACTAACTTGTAAAGCTGCTGTGTAGCTCATGTAAACCAAAGCCAACAGTTAAAAAAAAAAAGTCATAGATGGGCTCACATACAACAGCATGTCTAATATGCAATGGGCCCAGGTGAACTATGCTGTGCAAGCCCAGCGTAACTAGCTGTAATTTGTGGAGTCTGACCACCGTTACTCATGAACACAAACTGCATGGCCTGCTAAATACTGTGCTAAAACAAAGAGCCTCCTATTAAGACTATTCCTCTCCTATACCAAGTCAACACTTAATCTTCATTTAACCTATGCTAAATTTGCTGCCTCTTTCCTTTAAAGAGAGAAAATATCTAATTTTCAAATACCTTACTACTTCTACACTCCGATAAATTGTAGGGAAGACCCTCATACATGTCAATATTCCTTATGTACCAATCCCAGAAAAAGATGAAGTCAGATATTTTGGACAGCCATGACCCATGACAGTTTCCTACTTTCTGTACTAAGGAATAATATTTAACAGCTAAAATCTTCCAAGAAAAGGTGAAATCAGTAAGAATTTTATACTTCTACACAATTCGGGAGCAAAAATAAGACGCATCTTTTCATGACAATACGTCTCTCATGGAGAAGCAACAACCAAAATGAGATGTGAGGGATCTTAAGAGCTGATCTGTGGAATAAACTGAATCCCACGCTCATGAACTGGAGCTTGCTATTGAAAAAATATTTACCTTTCAAACCATAGCTTTATACTTTGCATAAATGTTTTGTGAGGGTATATTCGGTTCTCTCTCAAATATAAGAGGATACCAAACAGCTCTTTTTGTAACTCAGCACCTTTCATACCCCTGCTGAAGTCAAAAAAGGCCTGCAGGACATCCAAGGTTGGGACCAAATCCTTAGCCAACATTTCACGGTAAAGTTCAAATGCGAGGTTCATTTCTTGGTGACGGCTGGCTGCTTTGATACAGGATTCATAGTTTGTCCTTGAGGGAATCATAATCTTTTTTACTTCTTCCAAAAGAGTTAAGGCCATTCTCCATTGATCTGAATTACTCAGCCCCCTGATAAAAAGGTTGTAAGCTCCACTTTCTAAAATCTTAAATCTGTTTTTCATTACATCATACACATCACGAATTTCTGAAGTCTGCCCCTGCTGGACACACAATGCCAGATATTTGACCAACAAATTATATGCAATGTCACCATTACTCTTTGCCACATGGGTCAGCAAGGACTTAGCCACATCAATGGGGCTGTTGCACCTGACCATACTGTTAAACATCACTTCTTCAAATATTCCAGGTGACTGAAAGCTTTCCCTCAGCCTGTTCCATTCCTCAGCCTGCAAAGGTTTTTCTGGAGGCTGTATGTTGGCAAACTTACGCCTTGACAGAACTTGACTCATTAACTGTTTCTTCGGAGCTTCAACAGAGGAAGAAAAATGGACTTTCCCTTCAGATATTTCTTTAGTCTCCTCATCCCATCCTTTTTCTTCTTTGTAATCAATTTTAGACCTTTTCTTGGTAGGAAGGACATCAGTTCCTTTGGGATCCACTGGTAATGCAGTGCTGGAAGATGTCATAAAACTGAGGTAGTTAACCTTTTCCCTGTTGGGGATGTTGAAAGAGACAGCAGACAGTTGCTGGCATCTTGGAGCAGGCCAGAACATACAACATTTCCATAGCAAAGCCTGAAAACCCCGTTGACTAGTTTGAGAAAAGAGTGCCATTACAAGAAGGAATTATCTCACTGTTAGCTCACTGTATCTAACAAAGTTATAAACTGGAAAATGCAGTTTGCATGGGGTCATTTATCATAAAAGTCCAAGGGCTGTCAAGCTGTATAAGCTTCAGTTTCAAAATGCTTGTTCTATGAGTCCTTTCTGCCTCTTATGAAAATAAAAAATGGTAAAATCTTCTTTCACAAAAATCAGTAATTTAGACTGTGAGAACACCCATCCATAATGCAGTTATCTTTCTTCCTAGAGAAGATGCTTTGCAGGTTTGCAGCTTATAATTTCTGTTTGTTGGCCACTGTAAAGATGAGTACTGAGTGTGTTGTAAGCAGACAGGCAACTCTGATGCAGTTAGGCAAAAAGCACAGGTTTTTTTCTTCCTGCCTTTATCCAAGTTGAGTCAGAACGCTTCCTAAAAATAAAAGTAACATCACAACATCATGACCTGCTCCATGCTCTTCTGTCACATTTGCATGCTAGCAAACACAAAGTTCAAGGTACCTCGACAACTTCAGGTCAGGAATCCCCATCAGATCCCTCAGTCCCAGCACGGGATTCCTACGCTGGTTCCCTCACACCTTTCAACCTGTGACAAACTTCCGTTTGTTTCCCCAACCGGCAATCCTTGGCAATGCCGCTGCCCAAGAGGCAGAGCAACACCACTGGCAGTAATTACAGCGAAATCCCACGTAAACGTTAGGTTATAAACGTAAATATCGGGAGGACGATCGGCAGACGGGCAGGCAGCTGGTGCGGCTCATGAGGAGGGCCCCGCCAGGCCTCACATCCTTCGCTCGGGGCCCGGCCCGGCCGCGGCCCCGGGCACTACAACTCCCAGCGTGCAGAGCGGCCCGGCCCTAGCAGCGCGCTGCCTGCTGGGAAAACCCCTCTCTCTCTC